GCTCCAAGGAGCCACCGTCGCCGCTACAAGCCATGGCTGGCCCTGGGATCGAACCCAAATGAACCGGTAGCCACCCTCTTCCCTCTCCGGTCAAGCCCAGCCGTCGAAACCGCCGGAATTTGCCGGATTTGGCAGAAAATCGGCTGAAATTCATCTTGATCGAATCAAGAAAAAGGTATGGATCTTGAACCTCTCAGAAAATCGGCCACCGTTTTGATCGAATCAGGTATGGATCTTGAACCTCTCGAGCTGATCTTGCTGCTAGTGGTGTTAGTTTTAAGAAATTTCTGCGTTTTGGTAGTTAATTAAGCGATAGAAAATCTGCCAGTTTCGGCTTCCGATTCCGGCCACTTCTGGCCACTTTTTGGGGTAGGTCCAAGAACAAAAGTGGTTCCAAATTAGGTGTTTTACCTAGGGTAGGAAGCTTGGCAGGCGGTTTGGAGTTTTTCCGATCACAGGAAATTTCTTTGGACACCCACGCGCTGCCGGCGCGTGGGGTGGCACGTGGGCTACGTGTTGGCCTGTTATTGTGTCATAAAATGATCTCCTGGTTCTTACGAGCGTGTAGGAATTTGCGGATCTCAATTCGGATAACATATGAACCCCGAACGGATTTTACATATTGTGTAATTTCCGGGTTCGATATGTTAGAACCGTTGGATCGCTTCCAATTTAATTAGTGTTGATCTAGGTATTCCTAGGATCGTGTAGAATTCGACGGATCGTAAATCAAAGTCCCGGATGTTTCAATTCAATAACTTAAAGTTTGCATTTTTACGATAACCGTCCGATCGTGCGATCGTGAGCAATCTAACTGTCTGATCCGGACCAAACTTGCAGGAGGTGTACCCTAGACCTTGTGGAACCCATAGGAACTTTCGGATCATAACACGGAGGTCGTGGGTCCCGCGGACCCGGTTGACCAAGTTTGGGCAGTTTGACCCTCGGTTGACTGTGAGCCTTCCGAGATAGTCCCACTCTTCGAGGAGTACCAGAACGACCCTTTTGGACGAGTCTTGACCGTCATTTGATTGATGTTGATTATGTGGGTCTATGAGATTATTTTTATGGTTTTGTGATGGAAATCTTATGCTTTTGAATTTAATGCTCTATTTCAATTCTTTTTATATTTGATAGTGGAATTCTTTATTTTTGTAAGGCATTTGTGATATATGTGGGTTTGACTTATTCGAGTATCTTGAGTCATATATATAATATTTGAGAAAATGCTATCTATGTTGGATATGTGTGGGGTACTTGGGATGTGGTTGTGAGATGAGGAGAGATGTGAGATTGGAATGTTAGTTTGAGTGCTATTAGCACTACCTTAGGTACCTCCCCAGGTATGGGTTATATGCTTGATAAGTTATTGGTCTATACTATGAATAGGTAAAATGGGAAAAATTAAATTAAGGGAGGGAATATTATCTTTATAATATTTATATAAGGGTTATGAACTCCACCATCATATGTACCTCCCCTTGGATGATGACACTTGAAAATAGTGGATATGGACACTGGGATACGTGGAAATGGATATGGTTTGGATATGACGGAACCCGGGGCATACCTTAACGGGGTGTCGCTGTAGACCCTTAATTGGGTAGTCTGCGCGCGTAGGGATGTTTCAGGCGTGCGGGTCTTGATTCTTCGTCCGTACGTGCTGGTTGAGTGTCGGTCCCCCAGTGCACTGCTCGTCCCTAGCCACATGGCCATTTGAGGGCGAATACTTGTGAGCTAGTCAACAATCCCCGGTTGGATTGTTTTCCCCAGTACATGATGTGCATCATCACATGTACTTCCCCTTGGATATTGGTACTTGGATACAGTGGATATGGATACGTGGATATGACGGAACCCGGGGCATACCTTAACAGGGTGTCGTTGTAGACCCTTAATTGGGTAGTCTGCGCACGTGGGGCTGTTTTAGGCGTATGGGTCTTAATTCTTCGTCCGTACGTGCTGGTTGAGTGTTAGTCCCCTAGTTGGACGGCTCGTCCCTAGCCACATGACCATTTGAGGGCGGATACTTGTGAGCTAGTCAACAATCCCCGGTTGAATTGTTTTCCCCTAGTACATGATGATGGTGAGAGGTGGGTGTTATTATATATCTATGTATATATGTATATTTGTTCCTTTATAGGCGTACATATTACATATATGTATATGTGGATTTGATTTGGGTTGAAATCAGTGAGATTATGCTTTGTGAGTACCCTGTACATGTATAATGTTTAAGTCATGGATTGGAAAGTGTTGTGCGGCAACATACGCCTTGGATAGGGTATGGTTGAGGGATTGAACTGATAAAAAGGGAAGAAATTGATAATGTGTTCAATGTACATACGCCTTGGATAGGGTATGGTTGCAGGGTTGAACTGATATAAAGGAAGAGATTGAGAATGTGTTCATTGGGTTTTGTCGGAAGTGGAGTTGTGATAAATCTGAAATGTATCGTTGGTTCTGTTTTAAATAATTGTATATTATCGGAGTTGTGACCGTTGATTATAAGAACTACGTGTGGCTTGATCCCTTGTCCAAGGATACGTAGGTAGCCTAGGGTCTCACCTAGGTGCAACCACGAAATATTATTATGTTTAAAAGGTTTGATCGTTTCTGTGTATGTGATTGGATTCTGATGTGGTTATTGGATTTAAATCCTGTTTGATGTTTTCGGTGGTATTTGTAAAGTTGTTTGAGATCTTCAATTGCATTGTTTATGTAGTTTTCGACTTAAGAAATTTGTTGGTTTTGTTTCGAACCATTTGAAGGCTAGAGGCCTGTTTTGTATTTGCATGTTGATGACTTGTGCATGCTGCCAGTTGGGTTTTAAACTGTGTTTTGTTTTCAGGTTGAAATTTTGGGGAAAGTCAAATTTTTAGGGGAGACTCTACCGAAATTTCGACAGAAAGTCTCGGTTCTTAGTAAGTGGGCCCGGCATTGGTGTGATGTCGGAATTTCCACAGGATTCGTCTCGAGTTTCGAGGAATTCGGGGCGGGTTCTGTCACGGCCTCCTCTGATACCTCCATTCAAAGTATGTAAGAAGCTTTGAATTTATTTATCATACTTGTTCCATCTATGTATTAGTTTCTTCAAAATTCAAATACAATTATACAACCACATGAGTTAAAGACTGAAATTGAATCGAATCAAAGTGCATGAAATATATGCAATTGGATCCATTAATTGAAGCGTTGAGCAAGAGGACGGTTTAACAGCACACCTCCTCCTGCAGCAGCGTCCTTCAAAAACTTCATCTTGATTTTGTTGAGTGTGGCTACAGCTTCCTTCATACTTATCCTCTCTTCTGGTGATTCTGCACAGCAAGAAAGAGCTAATCTCATAATGGATGATAAGCAATCCCTCTTCTTCACATGATCATCATCTTCCTGCTCTGCCCCAATCCCAAGCAAATTGGCATCCACAACTTCATCTATCATTGCATCTGGTAAAACTAGTGAGTTTGCAATCCATTGCTTTAAATTCATTTCCCCACCAAATATCTCATCTGTTGGCTTCCTTCTTGTGAATGTTTCCATCACTACAATTCCAAAACTGTACACATCCCCTCTTGTTGAAACTATTCCTTCCATTCCATACTCTGCAATATGAATTATACTTATATATGTGTGAATAATATTCCATTCCATACTCTGCAATATGAATTATACTTATATATGTGTGAATAATATTAATGTGTATGATGAAATGAAAATTATGAGTTAAGTTCTTCATAATTAAGGACAACATGTATAAAACTGAAAGATATCATATTAAACTATCAAGTACATCACCTGGAGCCATATACCCAACTGTGGCCAGGGTCATGGTTTTGGTCATGGAATCTCCTCCGCCCAAGAGTTTTGCAATTCCAAAATCAGCAACATGTGCAACCATATCATCATCTAGTAATATATTGCTTGGCTTCATATCACAGTGCACAATAGGTATTGAATAACCATGGTGTAGGTATTCCAGTGCAGATGCAGCATCTATCATTATGTTCAACCTCTGTAAAATATTCAAACAAGAGTAGTTTTGAGAGTGCAACCACTTGTCCAGGCTCCCATTAGGCATGTAGTTTAGTACCAGGGCTTTGAAATCAATTTCACTGCAACAGCTGATGATTTTGATAAGGTTTCGATGACGAATATTGCTTAGCATTTCACATTCCCTATCAAAACTCTTGGAAGCATCGTCTAGCTGCAAACTGAAAACCTTTATTGCAACATCTATCCCATCTGAAAGTGTCCCTTTATATACAGAGCCAAAACCCCCACTTCCAAGTAAAGTGTTTTCGTTAAATCCATTCGTCGCCCTTAGAAGTTCTAGGTGTGAAATTCTTCTCCAAAGAAGTTGAGGCAACGAGTTAGTCTCTCCTGCAACTTCTACATTTCTTTTCCTGCGTAGTACAAAGATAGATACAGAGGCCACTAAGAAAATTACTGATATGATCCCGGGGATGATATATTTAGCTTTCCTCCAATTTGGTTCATGTGTACTATTTTTGCATGGTGGAACATAGAGTCGGGGTGCACCACAGAGTGCACTGTTTGAGACAAATGATTGAGCAGAGAAGTTTTGGAAGGGTCCACCAGTTGGAATTTCTCCTTGGAGCCTATTGAAAGACAAATCCAGATACTTGAGAAGTAAGAGAGCTTCTAAAGACTTGGGAATCACACCAGACAGATTGTTTCTGGATAAATCCAAGAGTTCTAGGCTTAGCAAGTCGTGAAATGTAGTTGGAATAGGGCCTTCCAAATTATTACTTGCCAAAGATAGATTAACCAAATCCCGAAGACCCCCAATAGTGCTTGGTATAATACCAGATAAATGGTTATTTGATAAATCTATCTCTGTCACAACTTTCAATTTTCCAATATCTTGTGAGAGAGGTCCGATTAGAGAATTGGATGATAAGTTGACACGCAAGATATAGGCAAGGCTCCAAAAAGTAGATGGTATTGCGGAACTCAACGAATTGGAGTGTAGTGATAGAGTTCTTAGAGATGCGGCTAGATTACCCAGGCATGAAGGTATAGAACCAGAGAGCTGATTGCTACCCAAAACTAAGTGAGCTAGGTTATCTAGTTGACAAAGTTGATATGGGATGTATCCGTGCAACTTGTTACCATCCAAGTACAAAACTTGGAGATTCCGGAGTCTTCCCACAGAAGTTGGAATTGATCCACTCAATTGATTGTATCCCAGGTCTAGGAATATCAAGCTGCTCAAGTTGACAATACCAATGGGAATGTTACCCCTCATTCTGGAATTGAATAAATTAATATGTTGAAATGACGATGTAGAGCAATTCCGAAAGGAATCATCAAGTCTGGCATTTAACGGATTATTTCCCAACTCTAGTGTTGTCAAACTTGCAAGATTAGCCAAACAAGAGAGAGTGTTTGCTTCTGGAGTCGAAGTCTCAATCATCAAATTATTATTTTCTAAGTAAAGCAACTGAAGGTTTGTTAAGGCACAGAGCGTGCTTGGAATAAACCCTATAAATGAGTTTTGGCCCAAATCTATCTTGGTGAGCGTAGAAGCATTGGAGAGGTTGGGGATTACTCCGTTGAGCTTATTTCCTTCTGCACCAAATATTTGTAGGTTTGGAAGGCCAAGGCCTATGTTTGCTGGGAGGCTACCCGAGAGCTGATTAAAACCAAGCCCCATTATTGTTATTGTGGAGATATTGAAGATTGAGAATGGGATGATGCCATTCAGATTATTCTCTTGGAGTCCCAAAACCTCTAAATTTTGTAAATCAGCGATCTCATTTGGTACAGTGCCTGCCACAATGTCACAAGCCAACCCTTGCATGTTTAAGTTTGTCTACAACAATATTTACACGGAAATCTCTAAAAGGAAAATAAAAGCCCTAAAAAGACTTGTGTTTGAAACAAATTGAGAAATCGGGGCTATGTAGTGGAGATGAAAAGATATGGTTTAAAAAATGTCAGTATGCATGTCTTTATACTCCTTTTCTCTTTTTTTTTGCTTACTTTGGTTAACCTTAGATTTGAACATATTGACTTTACATAGAACGTTTATTAGGCAAGTCAATCTCTTATATTCATGATTAACTATTCCCACAGTTACTAAAATATGAAATATTTAAATAATGATAAATTATGCAACAAAAATAAAAAAGATAAATCATAATTGGATCAACATAATGAAATATCAATTACCTGTCAAATTGTTGGTGTCAAGGTTTATCTCCTTCAACATTGTTAAGTTCCCAATGTTTTTGGGTATGCTTCCACTGAAATTGTTTTCCTCCAAATATAGTATAAGAAGCTTTGTGCATTGCCATAGTTTGGATGGAAGTGGACCATTAAACTGGTTGCGACCTAAAGTCAACATCTGAACACTAGGAAGATACTGGCATATATTATCTGGAAGATCACCACTCAAGCTATTTTCATATAGAGCCAATTTAGTCAAAGAAGACATGTTGAAAACAGCCATAGGAACATGGCCTTTTAAGGCATTAAACTGAGCAAACAAGTTCTCCAGCTGATGTAAAAACCCGATCTCTTCTGGAATTATTTCTGAAAAATCATTAAGATATATATATATATATATATATTAAAGTCATGATTTACGCACAATAATGCACTCAACAAAAGCCGAGTCATATATCACTAGATCACATCAAGGCAAGGTAATGCAACAAACATACCGTTGAATTTGTTGGAGTCAAGGTATATCTCCTTCAACATTGTTAAGTTCCTTATTTCTTTTGGTATCCCACCTGTTAAACAAGGACTCATAATACATCTAAATAAAGGAAATTAGAAAAAACATACCATGACAACTAAATAATTTATAGAAAAACTCTTAGAGAGCCTATTTGGAGAAAAAAAAAAAGCCCTGAACAGCAACTTGTCCATTTCTAATTGGTTCTCAGTATGTTACAATTTTCTCATTTGGAGTTTTTCTGAAGTATTGGATTTAAAAGGGGTATTTTTTTTTAATAAATAAAATGTCCAATTATAATCTGCCAATATGTGAAAAGCCCTTAAATAATATTCACCATATATCATTCATTATTTACGATCTATGTCATTATCCCTCAACGCCCAACAAGGTTTTATAATTTGTAGCCTACATTTAGTCCCTAGTTTCATAAATATAAGTTTTGTAAAAGCTTTTGAGTACGTATAGCAAAACATCAACATGAATAAACCCAACTACCCTAAAAAATTAAATATCAAATACATATTCTATTCAAAGTGAGAATTTTTTTAGTATCGCATGACCTGCAAGTAAAAACAAATGAGTCTAATTTTCTAAAGAAAAAAGAACAAACTAGGCTTATAGATTAATAACAAAATGTTAAGATGTAACGTTATATCAACGTTAGATTTCCAGATAGTTTATTGATACATGCGTACCTGATAGTTGGTTATTGCTTAGATCCAGTAGTTGTAGTGTAGATAAATTGAAGATAGTCATTGGTATAGAACCTGAAAATTGATTGCCATACAAATAGAAGCTTTGAAGTTTGGGGAAGGACCCAAACCACAATGGAATGGATCCCATAAAATTGTTGTATGTAAAGCTAATCAACTTCAGGCGACGCAAATAGGACAATTCATGGGGCAAAGTACCATGGAAGCTGTTATTATTGAAGGTTAGTGCAACAAGGAATGAGAGGTTGCCTAATTGTGGTGGAATTGTGCCAGTGAAACCCATGTACGAGAGATTCAATGATGCTACTCTGAGGTGGCGAGCACCACAAGTAACGCCAACCCAGTTGCAGACGGAGGTGGTGGTTGACCAGTTGACCAAGATGTTGTGAGGGTCACTAGTGATATGGGATTTGAGAGCAAGAAGAGCAGATTGGTCTGTGGTGATGTTGATTTGTGCTGCACCTACTCTGCCTTGAGTTAATTTAGCCATATATAGAGAAGTGTACTGCAGCACAAGCAAGAACGTGATTGACAAGAGGAAATGACTTCTCTCCTCCATGAGCACCGAAAACAGAGAAGTTCCTTCCAACTCCAAACTGTTTTTAGTTTTTTTTTTCCTTTCCGATTGAAAACTTGAAATAATTGAATAATTTGTTGCAGTGCCAATCTATGAAGACAGAACAAGTTGCCAAAGAGTAGGGCCACATGATTGCACCCTTGTGGAAGAAATTCGCAACAACGACTTAGACTTGTAAGAAAGGACATCGACCAAAACAAAAGACTTTTAAGAAAGGAAGAATGGAAAATTGGGCATCTGTTTTCACAAATGTACAAGAACTTGCTATACTGTACATGTATGTCTCTGTATATTCTGTCAATCAGATATGGATGGTCAATCCAGTCTCCTTCCATAATAAGTGACCTTCACTTTGATTTTTTTCTTCATTTTTTTTATCATAGAAATATCTAATTATTCAGGTACAACGGGACTTAAATTCATTGCATCACGTTATGATGAGTTCATAATCCATTGCTTTAAATTCATATCCCCAATAAATGTGGAATTTTTGGTGCAACTCAACTACCATCATATATGTACGTACGTATCTATGTGTATAATACAAGTATTACAGAGAAAAATGCTTTTATTTCTTCTTGTCTTTTTTCAGAAATATTTGGTTATTCTTTGGTTTTGGAATATTCAGTAAATCAGTTCTCCTAATAAAATAAAATAAAACAGTAAATCAGGCTCAGCTATATAGAAAGCCCAATGCCCCCATTAATGATTTTAGCTTTTAAGCTAATAGCTCCCAAAAGGGCCCAAACCCAAAGAGAGAGCCCACAAAAAAAGGGTGGGAGGCCTGGGTGTGGGGAAGTGATCAGTCGTTTCTTGCCTCTTGTCATGGGGGAAACCAGTGGCGGAGCACCCAACCAAGGGGCGGTGGTTGCAGCAAAAACACAACAGAACGATAAAGCTCTGTATTTCGTTGATGAACTGAATGGGAAAATTACAACTTAAATAAGAAAACAAGTCTGCTGCTGCAAGCAACATAACATCCACTTAGCAGATTTTGTGGAACTACATACCACGACTCCAGCATGAAAAATGAACCTGACCATGATTCCTAAAACTTAGGGATTCTCCTGTAGACTAGGTAAACAAGACTCCTAACTACATACAACCACTTTATTGAAACATAAATAATCTAAAGATAAATCTTAACACCCTCCCTTAAACTGATTTCTGCAGAAAACAGTTTAGGATTGATCTTCATCTTCACTTCACTCATGTGCGAGTCCCTCCCTTGAACAAACTCCAAGCACACTTCTGAGCTTCTCAAACACAGGTTGTTTGAGAGGTTTTGTCATGAGATCAGCAACTTGATCTTCACTCTTACAGAACTGCAACTCAATCACACCATCCTTGCATAGATCACGCAAGAAATGATATCTAACGTCGATATGTTTGCTTCTTCCATGCATAACTGGATTCCTGGAAAGCCTGATTGCTGAAACATTATCACAATAAATTGTTGTTGAATCTTGTTGCTGGTTACCAAGAACTTCTAGCATTCTTCTCAACCAAATGGCTTGGCAGGAACATGAAGCAGCTGCCACGAACTCAGCTTCAGTAGTGGATAATGTCACAATTTGCTGCTTCTTCGAGGACCATGAAATTGCACCTGAACTCATTAAAAACACATTTCCAGAAGTGCTTTTACGATCATCAATGTCACCTGCGTAATCACTGTCAGTAAAACCAAGAAAACTTGACTTTTTTACTTTCTTATAAAAAATCCCAAAATCTGTTGTGCCTTTCAAGTAACGAAAGATTCTCTTGGCTGCCCTGAGATGCATCTCAGTGGGATTCTCCATATATCGACTTATCACGCTTACAGAATGCATGATATCAGGCCTCGTGGAAGTTAGATACATCAAACTTCCAACTATCTGTTTGAAATAAGTGCTGTCAACTCTCTCCCCATCAGGATCTTGACTCAACTTTGATCCTACCTCTGCTGGAGTTCCGACTGGATTGCTGTTCAGCATCTGAAACTTTTCCAATACTTCCAGAGCATATTTCTTTTTTGCAAATAAAAATACCAGTTGCTGATTGTACTACTTCTATACCAAGAAAGTAGTGCATCAGCCCCAAGTCACTCATATCAAACTCTTTCATCATAGACTTCTTAAAATCATCAAACATATCAACACCACTTCCAGTATAAATTAGATCATCAACATAAAGGCATACAATGAGCATTTTACCTTCATCACCAGCCTTTATGTATAAAGTATGCTCATAAGGACACTTTTGGAAGCCTTGTTTGACGAAATATGCATCTATGCGGCTGTACCAAGCTCGTGGTGCTTGTTTCAGCCCATAAAGTGCCTTCTTCAATCTCAGAACCTTCTTCTCTTTGCCTTGTTGCACATAGCCTGGAGGTTGATCGACAAACACTTGCTCTTGCAATTCACCATGTAAAAAAGCAGATTTCACATCTAGTTGAAATATAGGCCAGGAGTTTTGAGCAGCTAGAGAGATTACCAAACGAATTGTGTCTTGCCTTGCAACTGGGGCAAACACTTCTTTGTAATCGACACCATATTTTTGCTTGTATCCCTTTGCTACCAAACGGGCCTTGTGCTTGTCCACCTCACCTCTCTCATTCAATTTGGTTTTAAAAACCCATTTCACACCTATAGTCTTCTGACCTTTAGGCAAATCAGTAAGCTCCCATGTATCATTTTTCTCAATAGACTTAATTTCTGCATCCATTGCCTCTTGCCATTTTGAATCCTCAACTGCTTCCTCAAAGGTGAGAGGAGTAGAATCTGCAAACAAAGCAAAGTGTGCAGTAGCATCATCATCAGAGAGTTCATCTCCACTTACATAATCATTCATCCATGATGGTCTCTTCCTTGGACGTTGAATTTGAGGTGCCTGAACATCTGCAGGCATATCATTTTCTGGTGGGATTTCATCAGGCTCAGGAGACTGCTCAATGCTATTGTCTGTTGCATCAAAGTTAGCTGGAATTTGCTGCTGCTTCTTGCCTTCTCCAGACCAAACCCACGTCTTTTCTTCATCAAAGACCACATCTCTGCTAGTGATCACCTTCTCAGTAGTTGGGTTGAATAATTTGTAGGCTTTGGAGTGTTCACTAACTCCAAGAAATACACACTTTGCACCCTTGTCGTCGAGCTTCTTCCTCTTTACGTCTGGAATGTGTGCATATGCTATGCACCCAAACACTTTAAAGTGATCCACTGAGGGTTTCCGTCCACTCCAAGCTTCCTCAGGTGTCATGTTTTTAACAGAGAAAGTAGGGCATCTGTTCAAAACATGAATGGGCCACAAAACTGTTTCAGGCCAAAAACTTTTAGGAACTTCTCCCTTAACTAGCAAGCTTCTGACCATATTGAGAATGGTTCGATTTTTCCTCTCGGATACACCGTTTTGCTGGGGTGTATATGAAGCAGTGAGTTGCCTTCGTATCCCTTGCTCTTCACAAAAAACTTCAAATTCTTTTGAGCAATATTCGCCACCACGATCTGTTCGAAGAGTTTTGATCCTTCTTCCACTTTCATTCTCAACAAGTGCCTTGAAACTTTTAAATGCATTAAAAGCCTTTGATTTTTCCTGCAAAAAATACACCCATGCCTTTCTACTGAAGTCATCAATAAAAGAAATAAAATATTTCTTTTTACCATTCGATATTGGATTGATTGGACCACATATGTCTGAATGCACCAGCTCCAGTAGGTTTTGTGCTCTCCATGCCTTTCCTTTGGGAAATTGATCACGATGTTGTTTGCTAACAACACACTCTTCGCAAACTTGGGAAGGAATACTAATCTGAGGAAGACCTGTCACCATATTTTTCTGCTGGAGGGTCTTCAATCCACCAAAACTCAAGTGGCCATAACGAAAATGCCACAACCAAAAAGGATCTTTTACTTCAGCTACCAAACAAGATTGCACACTTGTAATCTTCAATGGAAACAACCTGTTTGAACTCATTTGCACAACAGCAATGGCTTGAGAGGGAGTGTTGGCGAGTCCTTATTTAGTTAGGATTTCGGTTCCTTATTATGTTAGGATTTTGGTTACTTACCCATTCATTTAGTCCTATTATAATTGAGATTTATTTCCTATTGTAATTTATATTTATTTTCTATTGTAATTTGGATTTATTTTCTATTTTATTTAGGGTTGTACTTCTTTATAATTGTTTTTGATCCAATCCAATAGAAAAGGAAAATCTCTTATGATACACCAGATCCGGCTCAATTATTGATAGAATGAATAGATCTGCCATTTTTTGAAATCTCTCTTCTAAATACCTCCATATTAAAGAAGAATAAAGATATAAGCAATATAACTGAATATTTGTCCTACTTTGTTTGACTTGCTAAAATATGAATATGGTTTGAATACTTTAGGTTAGTTGTATTCTTCTCCATAAGGAGGTATATATAGGAGTTTACAAGGGTGCTTTAGAAGGAAATACATACAGTAATTAATTAGGAGAATATCTCCTAATTATACAAGGATGTGTCAACTATATAAAACAAGGAAGTAAATCACCTAATTCACTTAGGAAATAAATCTCTTTGATTTAGTAGGTTAACTCATGTCAACATTTTTTTCCCCGTGAGCATGATGATGTTGTAAAATGCTTTGTTTCTTTATGTACTGAAACTAATATTTTGTTTGTTCAAAGTAGTAAATGCCTTTACATTCGACGGAAATGGATGAATAGTTTTTTTTGCAAGTTTGGGCGTAAAGATTGCAATGATGGGTTCCTTGGTTCCGTCAAGAAAGATGGCTCTAATGTTTTTATCAATTGGGTGCAAAAGTAGATCAAAGCTGTAAGCATTTCCTAAACCCAAAAAACTGCCCATATGCTGAAATTCTGCTGTTGTCTAAATTTTCCATTTATTTTTGTTTTTCTTGTGTTCCAAGATATTGTTCGTAGGGATATGCACAGATATATGTGTCCTAGATTTTGTGTGTACAACTTTGTTGGCAAGAAATCGAGGTTTCCTTGTCCCTCTAGAGGATGTGATTGTGTATTCCCGTGCTTGCGCCACTTTTGATATTCCTATTGAAGTTGCCAACACTTCCTAAGATAGTGTAGCTCATCTCCAGGTACTTCAAAATTCTAATCAAATCTTTGTATGGCTAGTAGTTGTCTTGTTCTGATTTTCTTTTCTTTTTTTTCCCTTTTGACATTGCATATATAACATTCAAATGGAGAAATTATTGTATGTACCACGTGGTCTGATATGGTTGGACGATGACATTTCCCACTTTTAGGGTACAGTATCCCGTCAATGTAATATGGTTGGACTACATGGTTGATATTATTTCTCACTTTTAAGGTATAATATCAATAAATATTCACTTGTTTTATCACATGTAGACAAGTTATACCACATGATCATACTTGAGTACTACACTCCGTATTAGACTATGGATATGAGTAAATAGTCAATGTCACTTGTTTGGTGTCAACTTATATTATTTAATTACCCGACTATGTTAAACGGATTGGGCTTTTAATACTCTTCTTACCATCAAGTAAGTAAGAAGCTTTGAATTTCCTTTTGATGACTTGTTCCATCTATATATAATATAAATACACTCCACCATAAATCAGTCAAAAATCAAAAGGAAACGGCATGGCTTCCTCTACATTGTCTGAATTAAACACTGAAATTGAATCAAATCAAAGACCCATTGATTAAAGCGCTGCTGAACACGAGAATGATTTAACAGCACACCTCCTCCTGCAGCAGCGTCCTTCTTTCATACTTATCCTCTCTTCTGGTAATTATGCACAGCAAGCAAGATCTAATCTCATAATGGATGATAAGCAATCCCTTTGACTTCAAAATCATGATGTTCCTACTGTGTGTCCCAAGTAAATTGGCATCCACAACTTCAACTATCATTGCATCTGGTGATACTACGTTCTCGTCTATGTCACTCACTCTCTCTCTCTCTCTCTTCAATCTCCAGATTTGGAGATCTGGAGTGCAAAACCACCTTGCCGTCTCTTCTCACAGATCTCATCTCACTCCAAAACACTCTCGAGTAACAGTCACAACCATTACTTTAATACTTTGATTTCGTATGTCCGCTCTCTCAAGGCCTACAATTTGAATTGAAATATAAGTAGCAGAGAGAGAGTGCTCCCATGGCTTAACAGTAAATTTGATCTGAATGTGAATGGAGTTCACAGAAGATAACAAGCATACAGAATGGGCGTAAAAAGTGTTTCATGGTCTCCTTGTGGCCAGTTTCTAGCAGTGGGCTGGGTAGTTATGACCAAATGTTGCGGGTATGTCCGCTCTCTCAAGGCCTACAATTTGAAATTTGAAATATAAGTAGCAGAGGGAGAGTGCTCCCATGGCTCAACAGTAAATTTGATCTGAATGTGAATGGAGTTCACAGAAGATTACAAGCATACGGAATGGGCGTAAAAAGTGTTTCATGGTCTCCTTGTGGCCAGTTTCTAGCAGTGGGCTGGGTAGTTATGACCAAATGTTGCGGGTTTTGAATCACCTGACTAGGAAGACTTTTGCTGAATTTATGCATCTATATCTACTGTCCGTGCTGCTCCCTGCCGTGCTGTTGCTTTTAAGGTTACTGTTTGTTAATATATTAGATAGCCAGACATCATGTTCATTTAGTTTGTTGGATGTTTTCTCACCCCTTATTAATTTCTAAAATGTATGAATGGGTTGCCCTGCTGTGCTGTTGCTTTTAAGGTTACTGTTTGTTAATATAGATAGCCAGACATCATGTTCATTTAGTTTGTTGGATGTTTTCTCACCCCTTATTAATTTCTAAAATGTATGAATGGGTTGGTTCATGTAATATTGTCTAATAGATCCTGGCAAAAAGAAAAGAAAACAAAATCTTGTCATATAAATATTGCCAAAAAAATTATGTGTCATCTAAATTTCAAGTTCCACTTAATTTATTAAAGAATTATATAAAAAAAAAGTCTGATCCAAACATAATATAATTTAGACTTTAGTCAAACTATTTATCCGGAACAACACCAAACGCCTTATAATATTATGGACAAATATTCAATACTCTATGAAACAGATTAATACTATCTGACATAAATTAATCAGTACAGGAATATTGCCAAAAAATTTCTGTGTCATCTCAATTTCAAGTTCCACTTAATTTATTAAAGAATTATAGAAAAAAGGTCTGATCCAAACATAATATAATTTAGACTTTAATCAGACTATTTATCCGAAACAATACCAAACGCCTTATAATATTATGGACAAATATTCAATACTCTCCATAACAGATTAATACTATCTGACAAAAATTAATCAGTACAATCCGACGTACCAAATGAGCCTATAAGTACTCCTTAATATGTGTCTTTAAATATATACTTATATATTTAATTGGACAGTGCTCTAATTTTGTCATATACATAGATCATATACTAATAATTCTGACCACAATTATGGCCAGATACTTTAACTCCGAGGACTTTGGATACACAGGAGGAGACATAATTTGCTATAACGTATAACCAATTGCTTTTTTTTTTTTTTTTGGTACGTACCAAATGAGCCTATAAGTACTCCTTAATATGTGTCTTTAAATATAATTTTATATATTTAATTGGACAGTGCTCTAATTTTGTCATATACATAGATCATATACTGATAATTCTAACCACAATTATGGCCAGATGCTTTAACTCCGGGGACTTTGGATACACAGGATGAGACATAATTTGCTATAACGTATAACCAATTGCTTTCAAATATATAAAATCTGTATTTGTTTTTTCTTAAATGATATAACTCCTCATAGCGTCTGAAGTGCCATTCGATGCATAAGATATGGGCGACGTATCTTTTTTTTTGTGAAAACCAAGGTATCCCCCGCGCGATTGCGGGGACTAACCCTCGAGGTACTGTCGGGCGCAAAGCGGAGACCTCTCCCAACAAAGTCTGCTCTATTCGCAAGCGCCTGGGATCGAACCCAGGACCTCTTGTTTAAAGAATCCAAGCCCCTTCCACTTGGACCAACTCCTGTTGGTCAATTGCTTTCAAATATATAAAATCTGTATTTGTTTATTCTTAAATGATATAACTCCTCATGTTTCATTTTTTTTATTTTTGTTGTCGTGACTGGAGCTGATGCATCATATAAGCCTTTACATCGCCAAAGGAAGAGGAGCAAAGGTAGCGTCCGAAGTGCCATTCGATGCATAAGATTTGGGTGACGTATCCTTTTTTTTTCTTTCCCCAAACGAAAGAGAGATTTGGGTCACGTATCTCAAAGTGGTGTGTTTGGAAATGCATAATAACTAATTCTAGAAATATTAGAAAAATGCTAGAGAGATCACTTTTCTAATCAAAATAAGACGTGTTTATAACAAGAAACACTTCTCAGTTTACACTAAGTATATCAAAAGTTTCATAGTTCTTTATATACAGCCTACTCTTTTGTTCATAAACTTGCAACACATACGTAAGTTAACCCATAAAAAAAAATATCAAATTCAAAATTTAGCCCCCTAAGATTCCATGACTCCAGGGATTTGGGTGATAAGGATGATCAATTTCAGCATGTACTCATGGTCCCACAACTACAACACCAGAGGAGATGGATTATCATATTTGATTCTACTTTAAACTGATTGGCCGGAAGAATCCCACTGTTTTATGTTCCTTTCCTTTTTCTAATAAGAAGGGTACGAAGGGGATAAGGTACTTTCCAAGGCATCAAATACCTACATACATAATAAACCCAAAAGCCAAAATCCAAGGTAGTTTATTTGTATCTTTCTGTCTCTCTTTCTTTTGGTCCTTGAGGTTTTTGTCTCTGATACAAAATACAAATAAAATAACTGTTGTTGCATTTTCTCATTTGGTATTTTGCCATATTCGTATAAGAAACGTTTTAGGCCAAACATCCAACGGTGCAAAACCGTTCATATTTTGTTGGTTGAACCTTCCCCTGTTAGTGTTGACTGGGTGCATATATAATCAGTTTCTCACGCACAAGTCTGAAACAGCTACCTACATACATAATAAACCCAAAAGCCAAAAACCAAGGGAGTTTATTTGTATCTTTCTGTCTCTCTTTCTTTTGGGTCCTTGTGGTTTTTGTCTCTGATACAAAATACAAATAAAATAACTGTTGTTGCATTTTCTCATTTGGTATTTTGCCATATTCGTATAAGAAACGTTTTAGGCCAAACATCCAACGGTGCAAAACCGTTCATATTTTGTTGGTTGAACCTTCCCCTGTTAGTGTTGACTGGGTGCATATATAATCAGTTTCTCACGCACAAGTCTGAAACAGCTTTCGTTATCCTCTGTAATTTAATTAAAAAAAGCTTTCAATTTTCAAAGTCTTCATATTCACTTGACTCTTTGTTTCATATTTATCTTTATCAGAAAGAAAGAAGAAAAAGGAAAATAAAAGAATGGGTGTGCAGACGATTGATTTGTTGAAGGAGGAGCTTCCGGTGCACCAAGAATCTCTGCATCTCACCGGTGACACCAAGACCGGCCTTGTCCTCGTCGACGTCGTTAATGGCTTCTGCACCGTCGGTGCTGGCAATTTGGTAATTTCCCTTTTCCCCTTCTACACTGTTTTTCTCATGATCCAGTTTATGAAAAATAATAAGATTTTAGATTTATTAGCCTCTATAAATTCTTGGTTCATAGAAAGCTTTGAACTTTTTTTGTGGGGTTTATTATTTATATATGTGGGCATGTTATGCATATACAATAGGCACCAAGACAGCCTGATAAGCAAATCTCTGAAATGGTGGATGAATCAGTGAGACTTGCCAGAGTTTTCTGTGACAGAAAATGGCCTGTCTACGCGTTCCTTGATTCCCATCACCCTGACATTCCTGAGCATCCTTACCCTCCTCATTGTATTGTTGGAACTGAAGAATCAGAGCTAGTCCCAGGTGCCCTTTTTTTCCTTTTTTTCTCTTTTCATTCATTTCCCCCCCAATTATTGCAGCTGCTACTAAATATTTCTTGGCTTAATATACTTCAGGCATTTCGTTGTGTTTGTTGTTCTCTCTTAATTATATAATTATCTTCACAGCTCTGAAATGGTTGGAGAATGAAGGAAATGTGACCCTTCGGCGTAAAGATTGCATTGATGGATTTCTTGGTTCAGTTGAGGAAGATGGCTCTAATGTGTTTATCAATTGGGTTCAGAGTAATCAGATCAAAGCTGTACGCATTTCCTAAACCCCGAAATGTGTTCATCCACCTGTGATCGTGCTATTTCTATTTGATGTTGATTCATTTAGTTGGTGCCTACGGAATTCTGTTATTTCTGTCTAATTTTGTTATTTCTGTTCTCGTTTTTTGAAGATCTTGGTCGTAGGAATATGCACGGATATATGTGTGCTAGATTTTGTATGTACCACTTTGTCTGCTAGAAATCGTCGTCTCCTTGTCCCTCTGGAGGATGTGATTGTGTATTCCCGTGGTTGTGCCACTTTTGATGTTCCAGTTGATGTTGCCAAAACTGCCAAAGATGTTATAGCTCATCCCCAGGTACCTCCAATCAAATCTTTTTATCGTTAGTAGTTGTCTTGTTCTGATTTTTTTTCCTTTTCTTTTTCCCCTTTTGACATTGCATACCTTAACATTTGTCTTTAATAGCCACAATTATAACTAGTACTTTCAAAACAGAAGACTAAGACAGGCTTGAGCTTGAGATTGAATGTTTATAAAGTGTAAATTTGTAATCCTGAAAAGTAGGAAGGTACAAACGAGGGGAATAGAGAAGATTGACTTCTTCAGATTTCCACTTGCTTTTTCTTTTCTCCCTTGGTTTGCTTTGTCAATGAGAACTCTTCAAGTTTGATCGTTTGGTTGTTCTTCCAGGAGCTAATGCATCACATAGGCCTTTACATAGCCAAAGGAAGAGGAGCGAAGGTAGTGTCGGAAGTGTCATTGGATACAGAAAATCCATGAGGCTTTCTCTTTGCGAGGGGGTGCCTTTTCTAAATAATGAACTTATGCTCTCTATATGACGAGTTGTCTTCATCAGGCAGTTCACATGTTGGGAGGAAACAAGAAGGGTAACTGAAAATGGTGTGTTTAGAAGTGATGACCCATGATGGCAGCTGGAAGGGTCACAGCATAAAGATATATTATAATTTGCTTTGTTACTAATAAAATGGTGTGTTTAGAAATGAAACAAGAAGAGTAACTGAAAATGGTGTGTTTAGAAGTGATGACCCATGATGGCAGCTGGAAGGGTCACAGCATAAAGATATATTATAATTTGCTCTGTTACTAATAAAATGGTGTGTTTAGAAGTGAAACAAGAAGAGTAACTGAAAATGGTGTGTTTAGAAGTGATGACCCATGATGGCAGCTGGAAGGGTCACAGCATAAAGATATATTATAATTTGCTCTGTTACTAATAAAATGTACAGATAAGCTTTACACTTTGCACTCTATTTCACTGTATAAGGCTACGACTGTCTTTGTTATGTGCATTGGCAGCCTGCGATTTCGTGTTTGATGTTTCAACTGTAAATGAGCTGGAGTGATTAATTGCATGCTCACTGAAGGCAGGCAAGGAAAATTAACTCATCAACTGTGATTTATAGGGTTTTATCTGATTCTAATATGGCGAAAGCAATCATGTGATGGTGGCATCAACTTTGAACTGAGATGTATTTGGAACTAAATAAACATATGCAGAATTGGAGTTAAATGACCATGCCAATATGGTAATAAATGGCTTAAATGCTCATATTGTTTTGATACTTACAAACTACAAAACATGTATGGTAATCAAATAACATATTCCTCCCAGATCAAAAACAAAAACAGAGAGGGAGACCTAAAAGAAAAGGAAGAACCCCACGGAAATATGTCAAAAATACTGTTTAAAAGTCAAAACGAAAGAAGAGAAAACAAACAGCATGGAATGGAAAAAAATTACTGCTGGGATGATCTAGCTTTCGAATCTTGGTATCTCTTATGCATTGCAGGGGCCACTACGGCGAAGATTGATCGCTTTTGCTTCTTTGGTGTAACACCAAATATAAATGACCGCAAGGGAACTCGGGACCGACTCTCAGAGTGAGCTAGATGTGCAGGAGGTTGCTTCTTTGATCCAGAGAGCCTGTACTCCTCGTTCAACTTTGCCATAGTTTTTTCTACTTCAAGTTGGAGTGCGTTCACATGGTCCAATCCTGCTTGCAATTCATCTGCAACCTTGTTATTCTCTTGTTTCATATTTAAAATCTCGCCTTGGAACTTTGCAGCTTGGTAGCTTGTAAACTTGAAGTCGCCATCCTCAGCACCTGTCTTCAAAGCTTTTGTTATTTCTTCTTGAATGTTGCATAAAGACGTGAATCTGCACTGCAGCTCATCTTTCAGTAATGCACCCTTTTCCAACCAAACATTTAGTTCAGTCTGTATCTCCATTAGGTGCTTGTATAGCGGTCGTGCATCTGATTTCATAGAATATTTTGCATTACTACTTCCATCTTGTTTCTTTCTTCTCTCCTCAAGCTTGGATATCTCAGACTGCAAATCTTCTACCGTAGTTTCAAATTGTTGTACCTGTGTAAATGAAGCGCTAAATTTTAACCAGAAATCCAAGTTCTCTTCCAACAGTTCATCAATATTGCCCCGGAATTTTTCTTCGATTGCTGATATAGTTGAAGTTCCCTCAAGTTCATCATAGTCTTTCTTATCTGCTGGTGTACTCGTTGGGGTCTGCTGGTGATCTAAAGCTTTAAATTCTTCTGAGTCTTTATTTTTACCTATACTCTGTAGCAGAAGATCCAGCTTCTTATGCAATGATTTAATCTCTTCATCCTTCATGGCACTGGAACTCCTCAGTTCTTTTATGTGGACGGATGTTTCAAAGAGGTCGTTCTCAACTTCACTGAACTTCTTCTTGAGATCCTTGTAGTTCCGAAGAGTTGTAGTGTACTCTGCCAATAGAATCTTCTCTCTGTCCTCCATCCCATTCAAAAACAATTTCTGCCAGTCTGGTTCTTCTTCCTTCGGTTCCATATTGAGAAGGTTATCCACAGTCTGCGCTGAAGTTTGCTTGTCATCTTCTTTCCCTGTTGCTTGTTCCTTTTGTTCCATATTGAGAAGATTATCCACAGTCTGAGCAGAAGTTTTCTTGTCATCTTCTTTCATTGTTGCTTGTTCCTTTGGTTCCATATTGAGAAGATTATCCACAGTCTGAGCAGAAGTTTGCTTGTCATCTTCTTTCCCTGTTGACTGTTCCTTTGGTTCCTTATTAAGAAGATTATCCACAGTCTGAGCAGAAGTTTGCTTGTCATCTTCTTTCCCTGTTGACTGTTCCTTTGGTTCCTTATTGAGAAGATTATCCACAGTCTGCGCTGAAGTTTGCTTGTCATCTTCTTTCCTTGTTGCTTGTTCCTTTGGTTCCATATTGAGAAGATTATCCACAGGCTGCACTGAAGTTTGCTTGTCATCTTTGTCCAGATGTTTCTTATCTTCGTTATTAATTTCCAGGGATTGACAAACATCTTCTCCTTGATCGCCAGCAGTACGGAGAACATCTGTAGCTTTTACAGAACCATCAGCAGGATTTGGTATTTCTTTATGTTCTGTGGAATTTTTTGATGGTCTCACCTCAGCCCGAGGCTCTTCATCTTTTTGCGGTGAAACTGTAGCCTTCAGTTCCTCTCCTGACTTTGCTTCCTGCAGTCCCTTGAAGCCATCATCAGGATTAACTGTTTTTTCTTCTCCTTCAAACTGCTTTTGCAACTTGGCTTCCCCAAGAGATCCCTCTTTCGTTTCTGATGAGCCTGTGACCTTGACCTCCTCATCTGGCTTCACGGTTCGCAGTTTATGAGAAATGTGACCAAGATTACAATGTGCTTCAGTAAAATGTGTCTGGAGATTGTCATTCTGGTTTTCAACACTTTGGTTTAGATCCTGGACTTTATGCAACTTTTCCTCCAGTTCCTTCAGCTTTTTGCTCAAGTCCTTCTTGCCATCAATGAGACTTACCTTATCATCTTCCAGAATTCGAATTTGTTCATGAATCTCGTCATTTTCACTTCTTAATCTCTGGACTAGAGCAGTCTGTGATGAAACTGCACTCTCTAAGCTGATCACTTTATTCACAAGCTCATCAATCTTATCTGCCATTTCCGTAATAGTGAGAGATGTTTCAGGCCCAGCCTCGTAGTGTTCCTTAATTTTATCTCGTAACAACTCCAATTTCTGTTTCTGTTGTGTCACACTGTCCGCTTCCTGGTCCAATTTTTTCTCATTTACTACATTCACAGATTCATCCTGTGCATTTGGCATTTCCTGATTGATTTGACCATGATGAAACTCATTCTTAAGAGACTCTAAGTTCTTCATGGCATCCTTAACCCGTTGTGACTCAATTCTTGCTTCCTCAGCTGTACTTTCCTGTTTCATCTGCAATTGAGCCAATGTCTCTTGGCATGAATTTAAAGCAGATGCTGCCATCAAATTCCGAGCCTCATTATCGTCAATGACCATTCCCTCACCAAATTCATCTTGCAAATTGGATACTTTCTCTTGCATTCCCTTGATTTGGTTCTCTATTTCCCAGTACTTTGCAAGTCCATTTTCATATGAGCTCTTTACAAACTCTTTCTCAGTTTGTAGGGACAGAATTTGTTTTTGAGCCTTGTCAATCTCTTCAAGTGCCTGAGGTTTGCTCAAGTCAGATTTAGGAACTGCTTTAGCAGTTACTGCTTTCATTGAGCTCTGAGGCTGCAGTTTATTTTTAGCTGTTGCTTTTGTAAGAAGACTCTTTAGATCTTTAGTAGGACCCTTTGGAACCTTTGGGATATTCCCTTTTGAGATATCTGGAGGCCTTTTTGGCATTCTGGGTGAGGGATAATCATCTTCTTCATCCATGGCAAACTGAACTTGTTCTGGGAAAACAGAAGCAATTGTGTTGTTGGCATTTTGTAGCTCTGTTGAAATGTGATCATACCGTTCAGCCAAGGACCGGTACGCTCTGTAGGTTTCTTCAACAAAGTGTATCAGCTCTGGTCTCTTTTTGTAGTACATTTCTGCTCTCTTGGCAAAAGAGTCTCCATCCTCTTCAATGAGTTTAAGCACATATTGCACCTTTTCCTCCATATCTGCAATTCCCATATACTATGTTCAAGTACCAGAAGACATATACAACTTCTCTTCAGGTAAGCGAAAAACAAAATAAAGTATCAAAGGGGACACCACAACTCAAATATATGATCAGAACTATTTGATTCACATAAGACTTTTGTTGTTAACTTTGATTTTGATGTTTCCAGGGTTTACAATGCATACAAAATTTCAATCATATTGAAACTTCCCGTTCTTATGGAAAAGGTTGGAGTATCTGCTACCTTACACAACAAAATGAAACAACATTTAAGGTTTTCTCCAATCACAACTTCAAATACATTGCAGATATAAATTGAGCTAATGGCCTTGGAGAAAGAAAACCACAGCTCTTTTTTTAAAGGATAATTCCTCCAAGCACAGGGGAGAAAGAAACTGTAACATAACATCCAATTTTTATCATTATTTTTTATATCAGATGAAATGTTCGGAAGATTTGAAGTTTGACACCTTTTTACAAGAGAGATGTGATTGCCAGAAAGAATGATTTAGAATACAATTTACATTACATTTCCAAGATAAGAAGGTTCATACAAGATAGAACATAATCAGATAGCAGATATAAAGATCAAGAGTAATTCTTAATTAGAAAACAAACAAACAAACAAACAAAGATCCTGAAAACTAGATGATTAGGTACCTTGGAGGTTTTGCTCCAGCCATTTTGACTGCTTGGTTCTGATGTGGCTGGCCCACCACCATGAATATGCATTGCTTGCAGCTCTCTGCAACATCTTTCTTGATCTCTCTTATTCTCCAGAGACCAAAACCATGCAACCCCTTTCTCTTCTCTGCCTCTCTACACCAAAAACGACATGTAACACAAATCACTTACTTTCTAGAGGAGTTTTTCAGGAAGAAAAAGCAAGAGGGTTTGAAGAATCAAAGAGGAAAAATGAAAAGAAAACACAGAGTTTGAGAAAGAACGTGCGCAACAGAGGAATGTGCCACCAACTTTCTAATTTTAGGATCATGGAGGGGAGCAAACTTCGGTCCGAATATTTTGTCAAAGCCTTCCTTTTGAAGAAAAAAATACACAAAAAAGAGTTCTCATGAAAAAGAAGAAGACAGTAGCCAATAGTCATAAAGATGTACAATTTTTTATTTCTTTTAAATCTTAGGAAGCCAATCAAATAATATGAGACCAAGTGGCATGTTTGCTTTGCCAGGGTGGGAAGAGCACCCTCTTTTTTGCTTAGACACCCTGGACAAGTGACTTTTTTATGCCTTTGCTTTGTGAAGGTGTTTTTTTTTAGTACAAGCGATAGTCTAAAACTCAAACACACAACTAATAAGATCTCTGGTCTGCAAGTTAATGCCCTAGACCCTTTGTGTGTTCTTTTGTTTAAGGAAAAATAATAATCTTAATTTTCC